CTAAATACAGCTCCCACCCCATAAGGAGATGCATCGCATGCGATGCATACAGGCAATTGCTCATTGAAATGTGCTAAAACAGCATTTGAAGTGAGCAAGGCCTTAACCTCATTGAAACTCCTATCATGGACTTTAGTCCACTCCATGGAGCCTGCTTGTCTAAGAGCCTATGTAACGGCTCTGCCACTGCAGCCTTATGTGGGAGAAATGCATGATAAAAATTTAAAAGCCCCAAGAAGGCTTGCAGCTCACTCTTGGACTTGAATAGCTTGTAGTTTAGCTTCAGCAGGGTGAATGCCTTGGGCATCAATCCTGAAACCTAAGAAGTCAGTGAAAATGACTCCTATCTTGCATTTATCCTTCTTTAGCTTAAGGCCTGCTTTTCGAAAATGAAGCAAGACAGCCCTTAACCTTTCTGTTAAATTTTGAGATGACTCCCCAGCGATGAGGAATAGGGACAGACCCCAGGAATACCTCGAAGTGTGCTCTCCATGACACTTTGGAATATGCCAGGGGCTACATTTACCCCAAATTGCAGTCTTTTGACCTTGAAGGCTCCCCTGTGAGTTACAATAATCTGGGCCTCTGCAGCTGCCTCATCAACAGGTAGCTGTTGATAAGCCTGTGCCAGGTCAAGCTTTGCAAAAATGCACCTTCCCTCGAGGGAGGCCAGGATGTGGCTTACAACAGGGACTGGATAAGCGTACTGTTGCAACGCCTTATTCAGTGTACACTTGTAGTCTGCACATATATGTATTTCCCCATTAGCCTTTAGAGGCGTTACTATGGGGGTTTCCCATGGACTAGAATCCACAGGTTCTAAAATACCTTGTTGGAGCAATTTGTCCAGCTCAGCATCTATTTTACCTTTGAGGGCAAAAGGTACCCTCCTAGGCTTGACCCCGATGGGCGTGATAGTTGGTCTAACCGTAGCACAATGGGGGGCCCCTTGTAGGATCCTAGCTCTGAACTAAACACATCTGCAAACTCCTTGCAGACTTCTGCCAGGCTCAATGTTTGCAAATGGTGCAGCCCAGTTACCTGGATTCCCAGAGCCTCGAACCAATCAAGTCCAATAAGACTCGTACATTCACCCCCAACTACCACCACATCTAGGGGACCTTCAAAATCCTTATGCTGTACTCTTAACACATACCACAGAATTCTGAAAATCAGTGAGTATTAGATTCGATGGCCTGAGCTTAACTCGAAGGTCACTGCTGCTACATATCCTTTTGAATGTGTTTGTAAGGACCCACCCCACTTTGCATCTTAAGAAGACAGAACTCTTGGAATAGTTCTTCCAACAGGCATGCTTTATTAAGAGAAAATGGTTGCAGGTGTTCTAAACAGGACTTGGGGTCCAAGCTCTCCCCTTTAAGGTTTTAAGGGGTTCCCCAGTAGCCCCACCCAATCACCCTCTTCTTCCAGCGACAGTCTCAGGCATTACACTCCCACTCCCTTTTCCTTACTGCCGGCTGATGGAGACTTCAGAGAGGAATACATGAAAGGTAATAGCCCCATTGTTATGGTTAGTCCTTTTGATGATATCCACATCCAGTCCCTTTGAAGTGTACTCAAGGAAGTGAGGGCCATAAAGCCCCTTTGTTCACTCCCTTCCCTTCATCGTATGACAGAATCCAGAGAAGGCAGGAATGGGGTTTTCTATAGTTGATAACTAGAGATGAAATATAATTGGATTCTGACAGTGTTAATTGAAATAATTGAGAGAGTGGACCCAGTGTCCAACTCCATTGATAAGGGAACCCCTTGCAACCTTACGTTAATGGAAAGTTTCTTCTTAAGGGGCTTGTGTGTCCCTGTCCTCAGAATACTCCTGCGCGATGTGCAGAAACTCATCCTAGGTTGGCTGGAGACCCTGGTACCTTTCAGAAGCAATTCCTCACGAGGTTGGATCTTCTGGCGACCCAAACAGACGGATGTGATGTGGCCTTGCCTGCCACACACCCTGAAAATGGCGGAGCAGAACCTGCAGTCAGCTCGCTTGTGGCGTCCTCCACCCGAAGCATTGAAGAGATGCTGGGGCCTTGTCCGGATGTCCCTTCTGCCTCCTTTCAGTTGGCTGGTGAAGTCTGTCCACCTCCTCTTCAGGATCCGCTTCTGATCCTTCTCGAGCGTCCTCTTGATGGACGGTAGCTGTGTCTGGAGGGTTTCTGGTGAGCTACAAGGCCTTCACAGCCCCGCCTGCTGCTTCCTCAGCTGCCACCTCTCGTAGCGCGTCTTGGAAGGAGACATCTTCTTTTGCAAAAATCTTCTGTTGTAAGTCTCTGCTCCTCAAACTGCATACGAAGCAATCTTGCAGCCTCTCTTCCAGATCCTTGAACTCACAAGGCCTGGCCGCTTGCCTTAAGGCAGCCATAAAGTCCGCAGCAGATTCACCTGGCCTCTGGTCTCTCTGCTCAAATGCGTGCCTCCAACCAGTGATGGATAACTTTGGCTGGAAGTGCTCCTTCAACATCTTTTTCAAGTCAGTATATGTTACTGACTCTAGAGGTGCAGGGGCCACCAGATTTTCTGCAATGTCAAAAGCTTCTTGTCTACAGGCACACAAAAGAGTTGCTGCCTTCAAGCCATCTTCTCTTATCTGATTTACTCTGAAGTAGTTCTCCACCCATGCTACCTAAGAATTCCATCTCTCTGGGTGAGAGACATCGAAATCAGACAAGCGGCCAATCTTCGACATTGTAAACTTTATGATCTTCACCAATCGCTTCCTCTGCAAGCTGTTGTATGGGAAAGGGTCCTTTAGCTGAGCTCACCCCCAGCAATGCTGTACTGGCAGGCTGAGACGCTGATTCAGATGCCATTTTTCCCTTCGTCAGACTTCCTGGGTGAGTCCTTAAATCTTTTGTTTCAGCTTGCAAAGGATCCCACCTTCGTCCCCAGTGTTGAATCCTTAGTTCGCATGCGAATGATGAAGACACATGGTAACAGTTAACTACTCTTTATTCTCCTTCTCCTAGAACCGAGCAAAAAGCAAAAGGCACGCAGGCCTTTTTATATGGCCAGAAACCCGGATAGTGTCAACCAATAGGAACAGAGTGTTTTCGCGCCTTGCGCATGTACACAAGGCTGTTGCTGCTCTACCTGAACCCGGGCAGCTTTTGGAATGCCCAGGGCCAATGCAACGTCCCGAGCCTGCTTTTGTTGTGGATTTAATCACACTATGAGTCTTATTTCACTTCCTGATACTTTTTTATGTTATACTTTATAGTCATACTTTTAGTTACAGAAACAAAAAGATCTGATACTGTATTCTGTCAAAGTTGCTAACATTGGATGTTCTTACTCTGACAAAATATGCAGAACTGTGTGGTATTTTTCGAGTTAACTCAGAAGACGCTGGGAGGGGAGAAGGAAGAATGTATGAGTTGCAAACAGAAGAGAACCTTTGCCCTTCAAACTAATTGGAGAACGTGAATCATGAAAGCAAAATAAGGGAGGGAAAATGGTAGCAAAAATAACTGCTGGGGGTGTGTGGAGATTTCAGATCTTAGCATCCCCTCTTCATGCCATGCCGACATTTTGTCACATGAATAAAAATACTTTTTAGGAAAAACAATGCCTGGAAGTTCTTTGAAGTGTTTCATTAGTCGGAACCTTGACATTTGGGAACCTGAAAATATTATAGAAAATTTTATACAGATGCAATAAATAAATGAATACATACATACGAGGTAATCTTGCTATATACAAACGTCATGTGAATGTTCTACACATTTGTAAAACATTCTTCTGACACCCGGAAATCTACAGATTTTATCATTGGTAGCCACTAGGGCAGTGGTTCTCAACCTTTTCAATGCCACGACCCCCAACCGGTCGTAAGTTGAGGATACTCAACTGGTGTAGCACCATTTGCAGAATGGGACTTTTGGCGGGCTCAGCAGGGCAGAGACAGCCTGGACAATTCCTATTGGCTTTTGAAGGCCAATAGAATTAGACTCTATTCAAGAGAGTCTATTCTATTGGCTTTCAAAAGCCAATAGAATAAAAGGGAGTAGCACAGCTAAGGAAAAGGGGGAAAAATGACTTGGGAAACTATTTGGGTGAGAAATGTTAAATTTACACAAGCCCAGAATTTAAGGGAGAATTTTTATAAAATGTTTTATAGATGGCACCTTGATCCACAAAAAATGTCTCGCATGTATCCTGACTTACAGCCTAAATGTTGGAGATGCGGATGTTTGGATGCTACTTATTATCATAGTTGGTGGTCGTGTAAAAATATAAAAGCCTTTTGGATTAAGATATGGTGGAATATTCAAAGAATTTTTAGAAGGAGGGTAAAATTTACCCCACAATTGTTTTTGTTAGGTATCGTTATTGATTGTGATACTAAGGAGACTATATTGATGTTAAATTTAATTACAGCCACAAGGTTGTTAATAGGGCAATATTGGAAGAAGGAATCTTTGCCTACTTTGCAAGAATGGTTTCTTAAAGTTTCTTATTTGGCGGAAATGGCAAAGATTTCGGCTTTTTTGAAGGATCAATCGCAAGAGAAGTATGTTGTGGTATGGAAAAAATGGATAGATTTTATACAATATAAGTTAGATATAAAAAATATTATCTAGTTTTTTAACAATTTATATTCAAAATGGAATATTTTGGGGGTTTTTTTGTTTGTTTTGTTCTTCTTTTTTCCCTTTTTTCATTCTTTTCCTTTTTAAACATTTATCTATTGTATTCATGTTTTTATATATATATATATATTATTGTTAATCATTTTATAATTTTTCTAATTAATGTATTTAGATTTTTAATTAATGTTAGATTTATTTATGGTTTATATTTTTTTTTAAGATTTTTTGATGAAATTCTAATTAAGCCTATATCCAGCTCTGGGAAGGTCGGGGGAGGGAATGGGAGGGTTGGGGAGGTTGGGGGGAAGATTGTTTTGTTTTTGTTTTTGTAAAATGTCAAAATTTAATAAAAATTATCTTTGAAAAAAAAAAGGGGGAAAAAATGGCGGACTGCGTTGTTTGGTGACCCCCGTGAAATGGTCGTTCGACCCCAAATGGGGTCCCGACCCACAGGTTGAGAACCACTGCACTAGGGCCATGAGTAATAGGAACCTTAGCCCAACACAATAGCATTTGCTCCAGATGGGAGAATGGCTATTCTGAAATGTTTTTAAACCTCAAGATAAGAATAACAATAAAAGGTGCATAACAATAATGTATTTAATAATATAACATTTAATAATAAACAGTACTCTAGATAAGTAAGATTAGTCTTCTTCATCTTCCTCTCCCTCTTCTGAACTTCTATAGATACAAAAGGAATAAAAGATGATGTTACAATGTGCTTTTAAAACTACACAGTCACTTTTACAAGAAAGAGAAAGGTTAGAAAGAGAAGCCAAAGGAAGACTTATAGAGACAAGACGTATAAAACAAAATAAAAACAAAAAAATAGATCAAGTTAAAAATGGGAGACGTAATTAAGCTCTTTTCTATAAATATTAATGGATTAAATATATCAAGAAAAAGAGTTTAGACATTTAACAATTTAAGGAAATTGGATGTAGATGTGATGTATCTTTAGGAAGTTTATATAAAATAGGATTATAGAAAATTACTAGAGAAAGTAAAATTTAGAAACATTATACACAATATTAGCATAAAACAAGAAAGGAGGAATTATTATATATGTCAAAGAAAAATAAAATTAAATAAATATACTTGAATGAAAAGGGGTGAATTTTAATGTTGGAAATAGTATTAGAGTAAAAACAGTATATGCACTAAATAATATGAGAATATTTGTATGATCACCGTGCTTAGATGGAATTCCGGTCGAGTCTTATAAAAAATATGAGTGTTACTCCAATGAATAATGTTGGATTCCTAGTAAGTAGTAGAATACGAAAGAAGGAAAATGTAAATAAGAAACAATGGGGCAATAAGGACAAATATTTCAAAGAAGAAAGAGGGGGGAAATGTAAAGAATAGAAGAGTACTGTTACAAACTGCTGTTAACAAAAAAGGATATATTACGTGTGTATGTGTGTAATGTTTGATGTGTTTTGTTTTGTTTTGTTGGTCTAAAATAATAATAAATAAATAAAAAACTACACAGTCTTCTAATCAGGCTGTTCAACCTTTGTCAAGCTATTATATTATAATAGATTGAGTATCCTTATTCTCAGCTGCTTCTAAAGTAATATCCATATATTGAAGTGCTGGATTTTTTTTCTGAGAAGAGTAAGAATTTCAGTATTTCAGAGCTGTTGAATTTCTGCCATGCGGAGTAGTTACCATGCAGAAGAGAGCAACTGTACATAGAAAAGATCAAAGGCCTGTCACAATTCTGCTTCTTGATAACTCCTGCTTGGCTTTTCCAACTCCCTAAGCAGTTAAAGGTAGGAAGATAATAGAAAATCACTACTCCTTTTTTCGATTTCATGTCAGAGCCAATGACTCTGCCAAAAAGAGCTTGAAAAGAATATTGAGGGGTTATGAAAAACTAGGCAGGATGGCAAGTGTTTGGAGTGCAAGGGGTGTTTCCAACCATATTTCCAACAGAAAATAGAATGGACATGTTGCTGTTAGCCCTCTGCTAAGAAACGAAGAGGGGCTCAGTAAGCACCCATAGAATCTTCTCAAAACAGCTACTTTTGGTCTGGCAGCATCACTTTCTATCTATGATAGGGATAGGGAAAGAGAGAAGTGAGGCCCTAAGGTGAGCAGCAAAACAAGCTTCCAGAGGCCTAGTGCTGGCCTTCCAACAAGATTGCAAGATACTAGCACTAGACCTCCCCATGGCCTTCCCCACCCTGAGGTAGCTTATGTGCATGTTTGCCCACACATTAAATTAGTGAATGCTTGGGCAAAAGGAGGGACTGATCTCATTCGATATATGAGATTCACTCCCACAAATTCTTGAGTTTTAAATGGAATGGGCAGGCTCCATTACATTCGTAACTTGTGGACTACCTGTATATATTTTAACATATGATCCCCTGAAATGAATATATTAAGAAAATCTGGAATGTCAGGTTTTCATGTGCAAATTCTTATACTCCCTTCCTGAATTGCAGTGTTGCTGGGCTAGATTTTTCAGAAAGGTCTTATATTTTTTCTGAGAAGATCTAGATCTGACAAATATAGGAGAACCACCTAAAATCATTGAAGCTTGAAGCTAATTTTTCATATCCACTAAATGTACCTTTGCTTGGTACATCCTGTATTCTAGCAAAGAAGCCACAGAAAGAAAATCTTCTAAGAAAAAAAAACCTCCATTCCTCTTTATATTTTTATCCATTTTAATTATACAGTGCTCTAGCAGAGGGCTTTATTAATTTACCAAGCACTTCCATTTCTAAAAAGAGCCATTTGTCCATAGGCTTACTGTGAGTTTTCTGAATGTTCTTCAAAGAGTAAATATGGGATCCAATTTAAACACAAATGCAAAAGCAAAACTTGAAAAAGCCCCCAGTCTGTTAGATTCAGAGAGAAAGAAAAATGATAGGAAATTACATCCACGTGTGTTGAGTCCGTGGCGGGAAAATAGACATGAGAAGCAGCTGGAGTTCTCAGTTTCTTTTATTCAGCGTTCAGCTTACAGGAAGATGGCTTCAGCCTCGCCCAAACGCCTCGCAGCCTCTTATATAGGCAACTCCCGGGTAAATGGGTTACTTTTCCCGCGCCAGCACCCGCGCATGCGCACGGCGCTGGCGACAGCCTGTCTGGTCCCGGGCAGCTTTGCACCTGCCCGGGACTGCCTGCAAACGCCCGAGCCGTTTGCAAGGCTCGGGACATAACACCCCTTTCCCCCGGGCTAAAACTACTACCAACATACAACATTTATTTTACACGACAATTTGCTCCCCAATGCTCCCACTGTTTACTGGCTTTTGCCTTGTCAGCAATGTTATGTAATCTTCTAGGTACTTAGGAGATTTCTTTGCTCTCTGTGACCTTCTTAGCTCTGGGTTACTGGCATAAGTCCCCTGACTGGAGGGAGGCGTGAGCCTGTTCTCTCTATTGTGCCCTGGTGTCTTCCAAGGACTGTGCCCCGATGCCTGGCCTGCTTGCTTGCCCACCGGGCTCGTCAGGCCAGGGCTTCTGTTGCTTTGTGACCTGGTTGTCCTACCTAGCTGTAGACCCTCAGGCCCCTTGAAGTGATAGCCACTGCTGGGCGTCTCTGTAGAACCTCCTTGGTCAGTCCAAGACCTGTCAGGAGGCTGTCTATTCCCTGAACCCCATTCTGTGCTCGGGCTCGTGTGGGTTTCTGTACTTTCCCAAAACTCAGGTGTTCCCTGATTTGTGCTAGGGGTGTTGTAGTCGGGACTTGGCTCCTCGACTAGCTCTGTGTATGTTTGACCCCCTGTAGGATTTGGGGTAAGGTCAGGCCAACCTTGGGAATTGTGTGCCAGCTCTCTTGCAGGGAATGATTTGTTGGGATGCCCCCGGGTATCCTCCGTTGCTGGAGTGCTGTGTGATGTGTGTGGAAAGTGAGTATGCCCCCGGGGTGACTCCCTGGCTGGAGTAGGCGTGAGTGCCTGTTGTGTGGGTAAGCTCCATGACTTCCTTTTCGGAGCAATTGCGGAACCCTGGGATGGGCCGTTTGTGGCTCCCTCAGTGGAGATGGGCAGTAGCTCTTGCCCTTCCCTTTGCTCCAAAGGGTCCCCCTCCCCCCCTGGAAAAGACCCAGGAGTCTCAGCAGAAAAGTCTCGCCTAGAGCGAAGTTGGTCGATGTGCCGACGCAGGACATGACCGTTGTCCAGGGCAACCTCGTAGGAGAGAGGACCTGTGATCCTGGAAACAGAAGCGGGGACCCATGTATGACCAGGCCCGTAATTGCGAGCCCAAACCGGGGCACCCACAAGTAGTTGTCTAGGTGCCCTAGGATGTGAGGTAGATGAAGGCAGTCTGTCCGGATGCAACCGGTCAAGTCTAGTAGTAAGTTGGCACCCCCAACGAAGTTCAGCTGGACTTCTCCCTGTAGAAGTGGACGGTGTGGTGCGATAAGAAAGGAGAAAGTCAGCCAACCTGTGATGCCAGTCCCCGTAGGTGAGTCTCTTCAAGGCGTCCTTTGCGATGCGCACCCTGCGTTCAGCCATACCGTTGGTGGACGGGTGAAAAGGCGCAGACGTGGCATGACGAATCAGGTTTGCCTGTAAGAAAGCTTGGAATTCGGAGGAGGTGAATTGAGGGCCGTTGTCAGACACAATGACATCTGGCAGCCCGTGTGCAGCAAAATCCCCCTCAGTACCTGAATAGTCTTTGCAGTGGTGGTGGTCGAGACAGGCACAACCTCAAGCCATTTTGAATGGCTGTCAACAAGGACCAAGAAGAACTGGCCCTGAAAGGGCCCAGCGTAGTCAATGTGCACCCTAGACCATGGGGACTGTGTTTCCTCCCATCTATGCACAGGAGCTTGGGGCATCTCTGGGCGAGATCGTTGGCACAGGTGGCATGCGTGTACCGTAGCCTCAATACCTTTATCTAAACCAGGCCACCACAAGTGGCTTTGTGCAAGAGCCTTCATACGAACAATGCCAGGATGACCCTCGTGGAGGGATTCTAAGACCCTAGTCCTCATTGAGGTGGGAATGACAACTCTGTTTCCCCAAAGCAGACAACCCTGAGAAAGGGACAGTTCGTTCCTTTTGGACCAGAAACTCTGAAACTCAGGACTAGGGCAGTGCTCAGGCCACCCGGACAGGACCCAGGAGCGGACACGTGAAAGTGTGTGATCTGTACCTGTTTCAGCGGTAACATCCCTGGCACTAAGATGGAGCTCGGGCAAGGCTTGGATTGATAGAATGTTGACAGCTGGCGCGGGGTCAGCTTCTACTACTGGCAGAGGCAACCTACTGAGGCCATCAGCATGGCCCATTTCTTTCCCAGGCTTGTGGAGTAATGAAAAATCATATGCAGACAAGAAAATAGACCACCTAAGCATTCTAGGGGAAATGATGTGGGGAGTCTGCTTACGTGTGGTAAACAGTCCCAGCAGAGGCTTATGGTCAGTGAAGACCGTGAAATGCCTGCCATATAGAAAATCGTGGAATTTTTTAATTCCAGCAACAACAGCCAGAGCCTCCCTGTCTATCTGAGCGTAGTTGCGCTCGGCAGAAGACAGTGTTCTGGAGTAGTATGCAATAGGAACCTGAGTTCCATCAGACCTGAGGTGACTCAGGACAGCTCCAACCCCGTAGGGGGACGCATCACAAGCGATGCACACAGGAAGAGACTCGTTGAAATGTGCAAGAACACTGTTAGAAGTGAGCAAGGCCTTGACTTCTTTAAAGCAAGCCTCATGTGCTTGTGACCACAGCCACACAGCTTGTTTGTCTAGTAGCCTGTGAAGAGGCTCAGCTACACTAGCTTTATGTGGAAGAAAAGAATTGTAGAAATTCAGGAGGCCTAAGAAGGCCTGAAGTTCGGCCTTAGACTTTGGCCTGGGTGCTTCTAAAATAGCAGTTAGTTTGGATTCAGCAGGATGAATCCCAGCAGCATCAATTTTGAATCCCAGAAATTCAGTAGAAGGCACCCCAATCTTGCATTTGTCTTTTCTGAGCTTGAGGCCTGATTTCCTGAATCTTAACAGGACAGCCCTAAGCCTTTCAGCTAGAATGTGTGTGGAGTCTCCTGCAATCAAGACATCGTCAAAGTAGGGGCAGACCCCTGGTATACCTCGTAGTGTGTTTTCCATTACGCTTTGGAAAATCCCAGGAGCGACATTTACTCCAACTGTAGCCTTTTTACTTTAAAGGCTCCCCTGTGGGTCACAATGGTCTGAGCTATAGCAGCATCATCATCAACAGGCAGCTGTTGATATGCTTGAGCTAGGTCAAGCTTTGCAAAAACACGCCCCCCCTTGAGAGAGGCCAGGATGTGACTGACCACAGGAACAGGATAGGCATGTTGCTGCAATGCCTTATTGAGTGTGCATTTGTAATCAGCACAAATGCGAATGTCCCCATTTGCCTTTAGAGGCGTGACAATGGGGGTCTCCCACGGGCTGGAATCAACAGGTTCTAGGATTCCCTGTTGGATTAGTTTGTCTAATTCAGTGTCAATCTTACTTTTTAAAGCAAAAGGGACCCTTCTTGCTTTAATCCTAATGGGAGTGACAGTGGGGTCTAGCTTTAAGGACACAGGTGGTCCTTTGAATGTGCCCAGCTGGGGGCTGAAAACATCTGCAAATTCTTTGCAGACTTCCTGTAGGTCGAGTGTTTGTAAGCTATTGAGTCCTGTGACGTGTATCCCCAGGGCCTCAAACCAATCGAGTCCTATGAGACTCGTTCGTTCACCCCCTACTACTAATAAGTCTAGTGGACCTTCAAAACTCTTGTATTGCACGTTAAGGGTGGCCTCCCCCTTAACACACACTCTTGAGTTCTGAAAATCTGTTAATACAATATCAGAAGGCCTTAACTTGGCCTTAGTCCCACTACTGGAACAAATCTTCCTAAATGTATGCAATGAAATGATGGAAGGGCAGACCCTGTGTCTAGTTCCATAGATAATGGAACCCCTTGTAGCTTCACGTTGAGTGACAGCTTTTTCTTCATGGGCTTGTGTGTGCCTGTCCTACAGATGCTTCTTCGCGAAGCGCAAAAACCTACCCTATTCTGGCTGGGGAGTCTGGTACCCTTCAGGCGTTCTTCTTGGGGTTGTGCCTTTCGTCGGCCCAGACACACAGCTGCAATGTGCCCTTGTTTGCCGCATGCCCGGCAGGTAGCGGAGCGGAACTTGCAGTCGGTTCTCCTGTGGCGACCTCCACAGCCGATGCACTTGAGCGGAGCCGAAGAGCTTCCCTTCTGGTTTCCTTCCTTCGCGGGGTGTAGACGGTCGACTTCCTCGTCCGGATCCTCCTCGGAGTTTCTTGGACGTCTTCCTGGTGCACGGACGCACCCTCTGCACTGCTTCTGATCGGCCGCATGTTCTTGACGGCGCCGCCTGCTGCTTCTTCTGCGGTGACTTCCCTTAAGGCGTCTTGGAAGGATAATTCTTCCTTAGCGAAAAGTCTCTGTTGTAGCTCTCGATGCCTTAACCCGCACACGACTCGGTCCCTCAGTCGTTCCTCGAGGTCCTTGAACTCGCAGGGCTTGGCGGCCTTCCGTAACGCGGCGATGTATTCCTTGGCTGACTCACCGGACCGTTGATCCCTTTGTTCGAAGGTGTGGCGCCATGAGATAACGGACACCTTGGGGTGGAAGTGCTCCTTCAGCAGCTTCTTCAGGTCTGCGTAGCTTACAGACTCTACTGGAACAGGTGCTGCAAGGTTTTCTGCGATTTCGAAGGCGTCTTGGCCGCAAACGCAAAGCAGGGTGGCAGCCTTCAAGCTATCTTCCCTCACTTGGTTTGCCTTGAAGTAGTTCTCCATTCTGGATACGTAGGACTCCCACCGCTCTGGATGTGAGACGTCGAATTCGAAAGCCTTCCGATTTTCGCCATCTTCGGATCTTCAGGAGACGGGTCTATCAGCCAGCCTACCCCCGAATGCGCACCGGATTGGCGGGCAGCTGCCGAGTCGACGCCGTTCCTCTTCCGCCGCTCAGGACTCCTTGGGTAAGCTTACACTTCTTCCTTTCCAGGTAGTGCAAGGCATCCCATCCTCGTCGCCAGTGTTGAGTCCGTGGCGGGAAAACAGACACGAGAAGCAGCTGGAGTTCTCAGTTTCTTTTATTCAGCGTTCAGCTTACAGGAAGATGGCTTCAGCCTCGCCCAAACGCCTCGCAGCCTCTTATATAGGCAACTCCCGGGTAAATGGGTTACTTTTCCCGCGCCAGCACCCGCGCATGCGCACGGCGCTGGCGACAGCCTGTCTGGTCCCGGGCAGCTTTGCACCTGCCCGGGACTGCCTGCAAATGCCCGAGCCGTTTGCAAGGCTCGGGACATAACAACGTGTATGCAACAGAAATATACAAAAAGAGGATCTGCTGCTTTTTGCAAAAGATGTTTGATACTCCAGAACTGGAAAAGATAAAAATTGCCTTTAAATAGTAGAACTGAAAATCTTTTGAAATAAAACTGTTGGAGTAAAGCATAAAAAGAATCACCTTCAACAGATATTATGAAGGAAGTATGGAACTTTCTCCATCCACAACCCCTACATGAACTGGATTATAGTTCCCATCATTCTGGTCCTTAACTGAGGACATTAAGAGCTATGATCTAACTTCAAGAAAACAAAAATATTATCTTAGTTCCTTAATTTCTGTCACAAACTTTAAAGCCATCCATTTGATGTGGTCAAAAATGTTGTCTGCTCTTTCCTAAATTGCTAATCTTTTACTACAAAGGTGGCTTTTGCACTTTTCTAGTTTTTTCCCTTCCTTTTCCTATCTCCTACTAGAACTTCTTTCCACTCTTGCACAATGAAATAAGCAGCTTATGAAATATTTTACACATTTGGTATCCTATAAATGTGTATCAGCAGATGCATTCTGAACCACTTCAAAAATTCTTAAATAGAAATAATTCTGATTTGCACACTGCAGCTACTTACGTTTTCTTTGAAGTGCCTTCTTCTTCTGTTTCTGAAGTGCTGATAAAAAATTAAAAGCAGAATTTAAGCATTGCTCTGACAGCAGCTGAATATTTCTTCATTCCCTGGCAAGCTTGGCCAAGTCATTTATTTGTTTATTTATTTGATATAATTGCCATCTGTCTTGTTTCAAAGCGATCCTGGGATACTTACAGCATTGAAAGCATTAAAACCATTTAAGATAAATATTTCTAAGATGATAAAAATGGTTATAATCAAACACAAAGTTAATAAAGGAAAGATAACTAAAAGATAAAAGTCGGGAAGAGAAGGAGCAGGATGTACAGTGGGAGAGATATGGGGTTCTCCAGCATGATTGGATGGAGAACCCATGGATGGGTTGTCTTAATCTATCTGCTCCAATTAGACTAAGTCTGAAATTTAGTACCGCCCCCTCTGTGCCAACTGCACCCCAGTTTTAGACTTAGTCTCTTTGCTCTAAGACGCGTTTTTTCTTCGCTCCTGGAGCAGAAGACTGTGTATTTTCCCTTTTTCTTATTCTGTTAGCCTAGCTCTAACTACTCATTTTTCATTATTTAATTGATTTCATTAATTAATTTCATAATATAAAGAAGATTTCCAGCGAGTGGAATCATCCTCAGCTGACTGCCCGGCTGGGCTGACAGGCTGGGCATCCATAGACCCTTTTTTTCCTCTCCTCTTCTGAGAGCTTCCTTGAATTGCTGCTAACAGAGCCAAGCTCTAGTCTGACTTTTACAAGTGACTGCAGCTCTGGAAGCTCCGAAACTTCACCGAGGCTTGAAGGCCTTATCGGGCCTAGGCCAATCTCAGCGCCTCCCAGCTGACCATCCAAACACCCTCCGCTGCGTTAGGAGCCCAGGCGATTCTCTGGAACGAGGGCTCATCGCAGCTTAGGCCTCAGGCCTCACAGGCCTTCCTTCCAACGGCCGTTTTTGGCACGCAGAGCTGCGGCCGCCATTTTGAATCACCTCCCGGTGGCCATTTTGAGACTTACAGAGGCCCAGACTGCCTGCAGGAACATTCCAGAAGGCAGTTTCTGACAATTTGAGGCAGAGGCCTCTAAAATTGACGAACCTTTCACAGGCAGATCAGATTGGGGAGGGCAAGCTCGTTCCAGAAGGACGCACTGCCTACCAACCCCCCATTGCCCACCCCCCTCACCGGGCTGGATCATCTCTGCTGGGCTCCCTTAGTAAGTTACAACGCTGAGGGGGGCGTTTTTGCTGAGGTTGAGCCCAAAGCAGATTCATCATGGCAGAAAAGTCTACCAACGAGCCGGCCAAGAGGAAACATACTACTGAGGCAAGTGGAAAGAATAATTCCAAGTGAGCCAAGTCAAGCAGGGAAACCACTAATCCACAGAGGGCAGCCTCCCCAGGTCAGACAGGCACAACGGGAAGGTCCATTTTTGAACCCCTTTCCTCACATTGTGCCTCAGCCCCAGGGGCCTGGTCTCCCCCAGGGGAATTTCCCAACCAGAACCAGCTGCAAGAGCGGCTCCAGGGACAGGCTTGACTAGCCAGGATACCCTTAATTTGGGCTCTCAGGCCACATTCATCCCCACTGCAGCAGGGCTTCGCCCTCCTGAGAACCAGACTCTAAATCCGGACTACCTTCAGTCCAGGATAGCCCAGGCTGTGGCTCAATTCATGGCTTCCAACGCCCAACAGCCACCCCCACAATCCATGTATCATTCCCAATCTCCAGATATCATGGATGAACCTTCATCAGATCTAGAATCAACAGGGGCTGAACCATCGGGCCTGATTATGTCAGAGGACGAAGGTATCACTTCATCTAACCCCACCCCTCCTGTCGGTCTCTTTGACCATTCACTTTTTAATTCCCTGCTAATCAAGGCCTGCACAACTGCAAACCTCCCTCAAGAGCAGGAGACCCCACCTACAACATCCAAGGGTCCCCACGCCATAGGGGAGGAGCCACAGCAGAGGTGGTCCTTCTCCTGGACTCTGCTAGCCCAAATTCCTTGGCTGGCGGGGCCTGCAGCTTGTCTCCTCTGCTGGCTTGGTGGGGTCGGCTAGCCACAATGGGGTGAGATTGTTCCTCAAGTAAACTGGATCTATGCCATGCAGGTCTTTAAGGGTAATAACTAACACTCTGAATTGCATCCGCAAGTAAACCAGCAACCAGTGCAGCTCACAGAGCAGTGATGTAACATGGGTCTCTCTAGAGGCCCCAAGAACTGCATGGGTTGCAGTAGCCCTTACATCAGTTGATGCTTGCATGTAAGCTTGCTTTTTCTATGGATTCTCCATGCACTAGATCTATCATTTCAGTCCTTTCATTTCAAATACTACTGCCTTTAGACTAGCTTTTCTTTGTCTCTCCATTGAGGATTTTATGAACGGGACATCAGCAAAAAGATGCTCTTTAATCTCACGATGTGGTCTCTTCTGTTGGGCTTGGAGGAAAGTCAACTTCACATTTAAGCCTTCTTATCCAAGCCCCAGTCAAGTTGGAACATACTTTGCAGGTAAATGAATTTGTGGCAGAAGAGGACAATCCTCTTTTGTGCACAGCATCAAAAGGCACTTCTCCCATTCTCCATTGTGCCAGCAAGCAAAGAAATTTTGTAGTGTCATTAACTCAATTCCCTTACAGCTAAAGAGAGTGAGAGTGAGAGGATTTTTGCATCAGCTAGGAACTCTTATTTGGGTTAGTGAAATAGGACTGTCTGAAAAAAAATGCAGATTTTTGCCTTATATTTTCAACCAGATTAGCAAGTGCTAGCACTAGGAGGCATCCTCTGCTTCTTAGTTCTGCTTCCCCCAATAAGAATTTAACTCAGAATGCTCTTAGAATCTGAAATAAGTTCAGCTACTAAAAATGAACCCTTTATTTTTTTGCATTTTACACTACTACAGTACAAGACAAATTAGGATATTAACATTCTGTAGGCAGTGTATTTTATATTTAGTTTGTATATGCAAAGAGTTTTGGGTGTGTAGTGAAAGATAGAATACAATACAGCTGGAAGGGACCTTGGTGGTCTTCTAGTCCAGCCCCGTGCTCAAGAAGCAGAACCTATATTATCTCAGACAAAAAAACCTCTTAAAAAACAACCTGTGATAGAGTACCCATGATTTCTGAAGGCAAGCTGTTTCATTGGTTAATTGTCCTCACTGTTAGGAAGTTTCTCCTTAAATCCAGGTTGCTTCTCTCTTTGATCAGTTTCCAGCCATTGTTTCTTGTCCTGCCCTCTGGTGCTTTGGAGAATAAATTGGCCCCCTCTTCTTTATGGCAGTCCCTCAAATACTGGAATACTGCTATTATGTCACCCCTATTACTTCCTTTTTTTAGCCAAACCGAAATCCTGCAGCCATTCTTCATATATTTTAATCTCTAGACCTTTGTTCATTTTAGTTGCTCTTCTCTGAATTTTTTCCAAAGTTTCAACATCTTTTTTGTAGTATGGTGACCAAAATTGATTGCAGTATTCCAGGTGTGGTCTTACTAGGGTTTTATAATGTGGTACTAATACTTTGCGTAATCTTGATTCTATGCCTCTGTTTATATAACCCAGGATTGTGTTAGCTTTTTTGGCTGCAGCTGCATACTGCTGGCTCATATTCAAGTGATCATCCACTAGGACTCCAAGGCCCCTCTCACAGTTACTGTTTTTGAGCTAGGTCTTGCCTAATCTTAATTTTGGAAAGATATTGTGCAATGGTTCTGAGATAACATCTGCCAGCTCCTTCAGAACTCTGGGATGCAATCTGTTGGGTCCCAGTGATTTATATTCTTTGAGGTCAGATAGGTGTTCTCTAACCATTTTCTTGCTTATTTTAATTTTTATTTTTAGATCGTCTTTTACAGTAGTTTTTTTGGTATGTTGGGCTATAATTTCTTTTTGTTAATTTTAATAACAATGAAACTGCAGTAGTAATAGTTTATATTAGATGTTGTTTTAAAGAAATGCTACTCACTCTGTCTTCGGAGGAGTTTCGCTGATGGGAGTCTCTTTTTCAGATCTGACAAAGAACAGACAAACATTTTAGCAGAACAGAAGTTAAAAAGAACTCTGGTGCAGTTAAGATTGTCTTCTTCCAAGGAAATATCTTGGAAGAAAAAAGTTCTAAGTTAAAGAACAGCCTTGACAGACTGTAGTACTCACTCAGTGTTTGGAAAAATTTCACTCATGGGAGACTCTTTTTCAGACCTGACAAAGAACAGAAAGACATTTTAACAGAGCAGAAGTTAAAAAGAAGTCTGCTGCAGCTAAGCTTGTCTCCCTACCAGGATGGGAAGGATGATGGCTCATTTGTTTTCAAATTTCTTAAAATGGAAGGAAGTTTTAACCTAGTTTTTCTCAATCTCAGCATCTTTAAGATATTAATCTTAAGCATGGCTGGCTAGGAAATTCTGGGAGTTGAAACCCAGACATCTTAAAGGCCCCGTGACTGAGAAATCCTGCTAAAGACAAATTGTCCTCTGGAACATGGCTACCATGAGCTCCAATCTATTGCAGAATTTTTTTTCTCCTGGACAAATTAAACAAAATATTGCTCCATCCCAATTTGCTTGCCTTTAGATACTGCTAGCAATTTCTAGAGACCTCTCTTTGTCTAGCAACTATGAAGCACAACCATTTTATATAAATATGATTTATAAATTCAATAGCAATTGCACAAAAACTTACATACAATACTTTACAACTCTCTCTAAGCGGTTTATAGAGTCAATATATTCCCCCAACAATCTGAGTCCTCATTTTACCAACATCGGCAGGATGAAGGCTGAGTCAATCTTGAGACAGTCAGGCTCAAGTCAGGCAGTAAGCAGTGAGTTAGCCTGCAATACTGCATTCTAACGACTGCGCCACTGTGGGCTCTTTCATAAATTCAATGAATTACAATCTAAGGGTGGATCAACCTTCAATTAAATAAATAAGATCCCACATGTATAACTCTACAGCTACTCACAATTTCTTTGAGCTGGCCTTTTTAATAGGCTCCAGAGCTGGAGCTGGAGCTGGAGCCGGAGCTGGAGCTGGAGCTGGAGCTGGAGCTGGAGGTTCAGATGGAGCCTTGGCTGGAGGTTCAGCAGCTGCTGGTGCTGGTGGTGGCATTAGCTCCCTAGGAAGACAAAATAGAAACAGAGATTAATCCAAGTTTAAATGGGTTAATAAATATCAAAGTTGTGATCTTTTGTTTCCTTGTGTGAACCCAGCATTTCACATTTTCTCTAAAGGAAGCAACAATCGTATAGTTGCTAGTTCGCTTTGTTGCAAAACCCAGGTGTTGCCTGCATATTAGAGAATGCTTGTGTGTACCCAGGGCCTTATCTTCATTGCATCTCAAGTCCAACTTTCCCAAAATGCCTAAGCAGACTCTTGATTCTTTTTTTCAAGCTTTTAATTCTTATATACATTTACCGTAAATGCCGGCGTATAAGATGACTTCCGCGAACGCTGAAATCGGCGCCAAAGACAGGGGTTGTCTTATACGCCGAGTCGTCTTATACGCCGGAAATACTGGTAGTTTCCGGCGTATAAGACAACGTTCTAGGAATGCGGCCCGGCTATAAAGACGGAGGTCATCTTATACGCCAGGGCGCCTTGTACGCCGGCATTTACGGTATTTCTTTTATGTATTCTCATTGCTTCAGCTTGTTAATTCATAGCTGAAAGTAGGAATTAAAGGATAACTGGGTTAAACTGTTGGACCAGGTGTGGGGAGACCCAAGTTCAAATCTCCACAAATGTCATGGAGTCCTCTGATTTGGAGCCAGTCACTTCCTGGGATAAACTTATCTCACAGGATTGTTGCTGTTGGGATAAAATGAGGGGGATTCTCCTATATGCTACCTTGAGTTCACAGAAAAAATTGGTAAAACACATGTCTAACAAATAAAAAGAAAAACAAATATTTCTCTAGCATTGGTACCAGAAGCTGATTAGTTGAAAAATAGTCATGTCTCTTCTATATTTCGAGAGACTGTTAACAATTCTAAAGGAGAAGATGCAATAAAATAAACTAATTTTGGCCCATATGAAATCTGTATTTGTCACTGAACAAAATAGGGTCTTTTTTGTTTTGTTTTATTGAAAAGTTTTATACAAGTTTTAAACAATATCCCCCCTAAAATAACCCCCTCCCTTCCTCCCTCCCCCCCTCACTTCCCAGAGCTGGTTACAGGGTTACAAATAAACAAGCAAATTCTAAATAAACTTATCCAACTATACAAATAATAAAATCAATAATATACTTTAACTCAAATACAAAACAGGAAAGAAAAAAATTAACAATATAAGCATTTCCAAATTAAAAACTGTAAATAATTCATAATCTGCATAATGCATTTTAAACCCATATCATAACCCATATTTACTCTACATATAATTTATCCATCTCCACCTCGCTGAGGTGTATATTTTTTTAAACAACCATTCGTCCATAATAAACACAAAATTTCCCCTCCAATATAACCTAACCAACAAACTTACGTTCGATAAAATTGGCTCTTTCCCAAAAAAAAGAGAAAGTGAAAATAATTCTTTAAAATTAAAGTCCAAATAAATCTAAAAAGTAAAGATTCCCCGATCAGCTTTGTCCGCTTTTTTTTAAAATAACTCACCAGTTCTCTTTAATCGCAGAGGTGGGAGCGGTGTCTTGCTTTGTCCCGAACGACAAGGAACAAAGACAGCTGAGAAGCGGAGATTCCCTGAACTCCGTGGGAGCACTCTTTTTGCCCCCCCCCCAAAACTTTTTGGGGGGTTTCAGAGGCTCTACCACTATTCAGGGTAAAACTCCCCTCCTTCCTTTAGCCCAGGAAGGAGGTTTTAAACCGTGGAACAGCTGATATCTGCTGTCCTCGGTGGTTTTAACGCTATCTCAGAAGGACGGCTAAAAAATAGCCGCCATTCACATCGCGACACCACCGGAAGTCGGATTTCATTATTAACAAACTAAAAACCATGGCCTTTTTTGTCTAGCTTAAATCTTTTCTTCATTTGTTAATATGTAAACCATTCTTCATTTGTTAATATGTAAATTTTTCCCTAGACTTGAGGATGGGGTCTCCAGAATTGAAAGATACCATTTTACCATACATCCACTAGTCCGGCTTCACCACCATTTTTTTTCTAAAAAAAAAGTTTCTTGGGGGACACCCATAGGGGCAATTTTGTAAAAAACCTTGTTTTATATTTATTCCAAATTCTTAATATGGCGCGTCTAATAAAATGATTATTAAAATCAACATTAAGGTTTGAATGACATGAGTATTAATGGTATGATAAAGTCAAATATAAAGGATTTCTATTGCAGTTCCTTTAGGACTGATGCTGAACCTGAAAGCTTCTACTCGTTAAAGGCACATCTGTTCACACATCATATTGATGTTCACTCCTGGAACTGGTTGGACTTGTCCCTGCAGTTTTCTTGGAAAGATTTCAGAAGTGGTTTGCCATTCCCTCCTTCCCAGAGAGTGACTGATCCAAGGTCACCCAATTGGCATAAGGTGAGACTAGAACTCACCATCTCCTGGTTTCTCTCCTGGTGCCTAAAACACGGCATCAAACTGGATCTCTATCAATTGTAGCTGTTTCTAAAATGTTAATTTAATTTTATCCTCACTTTTGGATTGCTAAAATATGAGGAAAATATAGTTACATTTGAAAAATAAAGCACTGTATTGCAGGTCATAAGCCCCTATATACATAGTATAAAATACCTAATATATTCAAAATTTAAAACATTCAATGAAGTACCATAACTGTTCTTACAATACCTTTAACTCTGCTCAGTTAATTCAATTATGTTGGAAACAACTCTTCTAATAATTTTATTTCAACAAAAATGCAGAAGAATTGCTGTGGTGCTTGAAATTTTAAACAGGTAAACAATATTAGTAAAGTAATCTCCCTTTAATTCTTTGTCAGTAAATATAAATTTAACACACAAATATTAGTAACTGTTTTGTAGCACATGTAGTTACTTACAGTTTTTCCACAGGAATAAGCTCAGGGATTTCTGGAGGTCTGATAAGTAAAGAAGAGCAGAAATTACAGAGTTTGTTGTAGAACAATAAGGTGTAATTTTTTTTTTGCAACTTGTATGGTTAGTTTTAATGTACAGTTTTTGTATAAGAAGATTGTAAACAAACTTATTTTCAAAACAATATTACATACATTTCCTCTGCCTATGTTCAGAGAAAACAGCCACAGCCAGAAAAGCAAATTAGTATCCCCAGCAAACTATAGAAACAACCGAATTTTGCAGTCTGCAAAGGCAACATCTACAGTTTCACACATTATTAATTCTTGCAGTATTGTTGTGGTTTTTTTCGATGGAAGAAAAAGTTCTATAGAATGCCACACTTTTACCTCTATTCAGTTTATTTGCAAAGAAAAGCAACTAAGATGATTAAAGGCCTGGAGAGTAAAACATATGAAGAACTATTGCAGAATTTGAGAATGGAAGAAGAGAAAAGAAGGACTAGGGGGGACATGATAGCAGTATTCCAGTATTTGAGAGGCTGCCATAAGAGGAGGAGGTCAATTTATTTTCCAAAGCACCAGAAGGCAAGACAAAGAAATAATGGATGGAAACTAATCAAGGAGAGAAGTAACCTGGAATTAAGGAGAAACTTCCTAACAGTAAGGACAATTAACCAGTGGAACAGCTTGCCTTCAGACGTTGTGGGTTTTTAAGAAGAGACTGGTCAGCCACTTGTCTGAAATGATATAGGGTCTCCTGCTTGAGCAGGGGACTGGACTAGAAGACTTCCAATATCCCTTCCAGCTCTATTCTGTTCTGTTCTGTTCCACTCCGTTCCGTTCCGTTCCGCTCTGCTCCATTCCATTCCGCTCTGCTCCATTCCATTCCACTCCACTCCACTCCGCCCCGCCCCGCCCCGCCCTGCCCTGCCCTGCCCTGCCCTGCCCTGCCCTACCCTACCCTACCCTACCATACCATATTATATTATATTATATTCTTCTCAACATTTGCCTGGCTGCTCATAATTCTGGGTGGCTCATAACAATGAAACCAATAACTATAAGACCCTAAAATGAGAACAAAAATCCGTCTTCTCAGTCATCCCATTGGGATGTACCACCATCAGCTTCAAACATTCTTTCTTCCATCCCTGCACCCAGGTCAAAACTCAGGTATTGACAGCCTTCCAAAAGGCTAAAAGACTGAGGGCTTGCTGAATCATTTGGGGACGAGTATTCCATAAGGTAGGCACAGCCACAGGAAACGGCACACTTCCAAGCTCCCACTAGAGGGCAGGACTTCAGGGAAGGGACCTGGAACATACCTACCCCATCTGATCTGGTAGGATGGGCAGATACTGTCAGGGAGAAGTGATCCCACAAATATCCTGGTCCCTGCCATGTAGGGATTTAAAAGTGACAACCAGCACCTTGAATTACACCCAGAAGGAAACGGGGACAGCACACCTCCTAGCACACCACAGAAGTGTAACATGGGCAAACACAGGAACACCCAATACTGCACGTGCCACTGTTTTTGGACCAGTGCCTTCAAGAGCACTTGAAATGATCTTCAAGGACAGCCCCATGTAAAGTGCATTGCAGTAATATAAATTTGAACAAATCCAAATTTGTCCCAAGAATTTTGTAATGAAAAAAATAAAGATGTCCTCTAACTTACAAAATGGGACTATTCCCTCTATAATTTTACTTTGGCCATGTCATGCAGGGGAATTCACTGGAGAAAGCAAAGGTATTTGGAAGAGTTAGTGGTAAAAGGAAGTCAGGTCATCAAAGAACATGTGGCTGGACACCATCAAATCTGACATTAGCCAGAGCAGACAAAAACTCAAAGAAGTTATTGCAAGATCAGAAGATATGGAGAGGATTGGCCCATAGAATCACCAAGAGTTGGACATGACTGAATGCATCATCACCATCATCATCATATTTTTTTTCAGTTTCTTTCTTGAAATATGTGCCAAAGGGAAAAAGAAAAGGAAAGGGAAAGGAGAGGGGAGGGGAGGGAAAGGAAAGGAAAGGAGAGGGGAGGGGAGGGGAAGGGAGGGGAAGGGAAGGGAAGGGAAGAGAAGAAACAATACCTTGCACTAGCCCAATTGTATATGTTTTCCTCTTCTGAGGACTCTTCATCATGTAATTTATCAATCATGTCTTTTTTCCTTATTTCCTCCAGAGGTTGATACATATCTTTAAACCAAAGAGGCTTTTCAAATGACGATGCTGACGTCTGAGCATGAGGAAAGGATGTTTAAAATGATCATAAAGCTTCAAAGATTTTAATTTACATGTTGCATTATCATTTTATTTGTATCTCAAATTCCAATTCGTGGAATGGAGGTTCTTCCTGAAGGAATATGTGACTAGCAAATTAGAGCAAACTTAATTGTGAACTCCTAATTAGGTCACCAGTTTTAGCTCCCTCTTTATCTATGATAGGGAATCCTGGAACATATTTTGTACTTCTGCCAATTAGTGTTAGTAGCCAGTAACCTTAGTAGTTAGTAGCTATAATTAAAAAAAGTTCTCCAGTCCTAGTATTCCTAAATTTTGCAAGTGGTGTTGGGCTTAATATATGTCATTTAATTTGGGTTTAGTTATGATCTATGAGCTGAATGCATGCTTTAATGTTGTTTGGGAATGAGGCTTTTATCAATTCATCTGGTTGATACAAATATACTTGCAGTATACAAAACCTCTACAAGCCATGTTTGTTAATATTGGTATATTTAATAAGTCACAACTGGTTGTAGCAAAACTTTTCTTCTGAAAAGATCCCATAGGAATAATAGACAAAATACATAAAACTGTACAACATGGTTTGTGTACTTGACTCAATACACTTCACACATTAAGTTATAAACAAGCCATATTTTCCCTTCAATTTTTTGTGAATCCAGCCATTGTGATTTATTCCAGAAATAATTTTCTGGTCATTCACAGTTTGGCACAATGTGGGAACTACAGTATGTCATAAAAATGTCTACCAAAAGGTTCAAAATACTGCTTTTTTCTAAATACTATAGCATATATTTGGACATTTCAAGTTGTCAGTCATCTAGAAATCACAGGTATAGGACAGGCTGGGATCAAGACCATTGATTATTACAACTGTCTTTTTCTCCCTCTACACAGAGAAGCCAGAGTGG